AATGAAGAGAAAAGAAAGATCTTGTGGACCATTCTTCCTTTGCAAATGTTCATGTTGGGTAGATCAACTGTAAATTTTGCATGTGGCCACTGTTTGTGTGTTCCTTAGTTGCATACCCAGACACCTGCTGGGCATTGTCATCTGCAGCTGGAATCAGTTGGAGCTATGGATTCTCAGCACCTCTGGAAGTAAGGTGCTATGCAAGAAAAGCACAGGCATGAGAGTTAGGAGGCCCTGGGTTCTTGCTGTGGCTGTTCTGTTGGATAGCCTTGGATGATTCCCTTGACCTTTCTCAGTCTGTAAAATTGGGAGAATAATAGTCTGCTTACTTTCATGAGGGCTTATGAACAGCATTCATTTGTGTTTCTGGAGCAGTCAGACATTATAGTGATAAGCACCACAGAAAAATCCAAGAGAAAATTATCACCAAGGCAAGGTTGTATATGTTGGGCAGTGCAAGCAAGTGCCAAAATAGTTTACATAAAAAGAAGAAATATTGAATAGCTGCCTCATTTCCTGAGAACCATCCATCCTGTGCCTGGAATGAAGCAGAGATCCTGTGGAGGTAAAAATGGTATGTGGTTAAACGCACGCAATATTATAACAGATTCCAGAGAGGGTAAAGCAAATGAAGGTTTCACAGGCCCTTTCCATTTGTCCCTTAAGAGCTGTCACTCGTGCAACGTCAAATGACTGTCTTTTCAGTATAGTTGAAAAAGCCACCAATTGAACAGCCGTGATGTATACAAACAATGTATTCTCACTGGTAATACCATATGTTCAAATGAATCAAGAATTGCTATGCACAGTCCTACTCCTGCAAAGACATGTATGGGTTTAATTTTTCACCCTGTGAGCAGTCTCATTTGTTTCTGTGAGAGTACTCCCTATACATAAAGATAAGTACATTCCAATGCTTTTCAGGGTTTTAACATGGTTAATATATTTGCTTTCATGTCCCCTTCAGAGGTATATTCTTCAGGTATTTTACAACTTTTTTAAAAAGTTTGTATTTTTATATAAATTACTACTGGCCATATTAAAGCTATGTTATTTATATTGACAGTAGACAAAACTTCATATTTTAGTTCAAGTATAAGTAGTGTGTACTTTTGTACAACAACTTGTGCACGAATAGTATGTGTCTTACAAAACTTTTACTAATAACAATGCCAAATTAGTCACCCTGATTTTGTACCTAATTTTATACCTAAATGTTTCTCCTCTAGAGATCAGAAGATGTCAGTCTTCAAAAATAAAACAGACATAAATCATAACAGAAATCTCATTCCTGATATGGTAGCTGAATTGCTACAAAAGTATGTGTGAAATCTATTCCAGGTGAAGTCATTGACAAAACTCCCAGTGTTTCTTTATATATATGTACTGTATTTACTCAATTGTAAAATGACATGTCTTCCCCCATTTAACATGGGGGTGGGGTCCCTCGTCTTTGAATCGAGTATGAGGGCAGTGTGAGGGCAGGCAGCTGCTGTAGCTTGGGGTTTAGCACCTTCCTGGGCTTGGGGCCACAGGTGCAGCTGCTGCCTGCCCCACACCCCCTGCTACCTCTGCACCCCACCATCTCCACCCCTCTCCCTGCAGCCTCTTCTCTCCATTCCCCGCTCCCCATGGAGCCACTGCTCCCTGCCTGCCCCTCTCCCTTCCCTGCTTACCCTTGTTCTGTGCTGGCAGGCTCCATCCACATTGTAGCCTGGAGCACTGAGCACGGCCCTAGCACAGCTCCATAGCAACAGTTCACAGCTGCTACAGGTGCTGGGCTGGGGCTGTGCTCAGTGCCCAGGCTAGAGAGGAGATGGAAACTGCCAGTATGGAGCAAAGGTTTGGGTAGCAGAGGCTGCAGAGAGAGGGGAGGGAGCACACGGAGGCTGGGGGGAGAGAGGAAGCAGACGTGAAGGGGAAAATGGGGGCCTGAGTCTGTGGGGCAGGGAGGGCAGGCAAGGAGCATACTGCTTGACCTCCCCATTGCATCTGCCCCCCTGGGGATGGATGAATTAAAGATGACCCTCCAATAATTAGATTCTATACATGAGTAATTATAACAAATGTATACATTTTCCATATATAGAATCTAATTATTGTGGGGTCATCTTAAATTCAGTCATCTTAATTTTGAGTAAATGCGGTATTTTAAAATATCAAATTTACAAGGATATTTTTTTTATCAAACGGAGAAGTCTCTGCATAATCAAGTTTAATTTCTGTTTATCAGACCTGTTTCCCTATCTTGTCTGAAGGCTAAATATCTAGCATTGTTTTGCACTTTCACCCTTAAATACCTTTATTCTGAATTTGGAAGTGAGGGAACTGAGTTTTTTACAGACCTGCATAGGTCAGTATTGATTATGAGTTGAATATCATCAACTTAAAGTAGTAGCTTGGCTTTCAAAGAATCTTCTATAATAATTTCTTTTAAATAGATTCAGTTTCCAGATTCTTGTTAGGAAGTGTACACTCCTAATAGGAAGTAGGGGAAGAAGAATTGAATCAGTTAGACCCTTTCCGTCACACATTCCATATTTAAATTACATATTCAGATTTTTACAGTCACGCTTTGCTGTTATAATGGTATAATGATGTTACTTAAATTTGTCTTGCTATTGCAAGCAGTTGTCTCAGAAAGTACTGAGATGTGGATGTTGTTGAACTATTTTTTTATGTGACTGTTTTAAACACTAATGCTTGTTTAAAACCTCGATTTGCTTTTCAAAAGAACTTGCTGAAACTGGATCCAGGAGATAGGTATTTGACAGAACAGTGTTTGAACCATCCTTCATTTCAAACCCAGAGACTCTTGGATCGCTGTGGAAGTTCACCTTCACGGACAACTAAGAGAAAATCCTATCATGGGGAGAGCAACACATTATCAAACAGGTAAAAGCAGTAAAAAGACCTTCACTATTAAAACCATCATCATTTCACTAATGAATAAGTTGCTTTCAGGTATAAATATGAAATCATCTTCAAGAAAAGAAAAAGTAACCACTTGATAATTTTGACCTTTTGGTATACATAATATTTTCTATTCTTAGCTTAATGTAGTAGCTAAAGCTAGTTTTTGTATGCAAGCTGCCTTCCCTCTCAGTTATAAAACATACTTCATCTGCAAGTTCTTCACTGAGAACAGAGTTTTTCTGTAACTGAACCTTTTACCTTTGTATACCCATGTATGTGTGGTACTGGGAAAAGGTTGGTAGCATTGCCTAGAATTAAGGTTGCCCAATACCCCCACTGTAAGAACTTGTTTTCTGTTACCTGCAACTTTTAAAATATTCACTCCAGCTTTTTTTCCATTCTGGGTTTCTGTGTCAAGCTGAATTTTTCTGGGAAATGTTAGCTGAAGTCACTGCTGAAAATGAGGCAGAGAAAAAACATGGGTTTTGCCAGATGTTAGAAACAAATCTGTTGATATTTTTTTGACCCCTTCTAGCTTCCTTGTGGTTTGGGGCAGAACTTGAAATTTAGTATGAAGTATTTTGTATCAGGGATATGCCTGTCGCTGTCCCCATACACATCATCCCAGAATGCAGGTTTCTGAAAGATTACAGTTCACACATGCTTAGTAGAGATTTCTTACATTTCAGCAGCTGAATTCCATGAAAATTCTGTTTGTACTGGTCATGATCTAGCCTGGGGCTGAGCATAGCTTTCCTTGCAACTACAACTTTAGGCTGCTACTGCCAGTGCTGCATCCCTGTACTGGAACTGAGGGCAGGGAGACTCTCTTGTGCTCTCAGTGGCAGCTCTTGATAGGGACCAGGTGGCACTGAGGAGCAAGTCACCTGGCTTGCATGCAGAGTAGACAAGACCTGGACCTGTGGGAACAATGACTGGGGAAGCAGATTGTGACAAGGTGCTGAGCCTGAAACTGGGGGAGCTGTGATTACTTGGGCAAAGAGACTGGAATGGGAATACAGGGAGGGAAATGGGATTTGATGACAGGCTGGGGATGGGCATTAGTTGGGCTGGGTGGTGTGGGGGAAGAGGACACAGAGCAAGAACCAAAGTAGTACAGGGGAAGGACAGGGACTGAGGAGCCTGGGACTGAAAAGCAAATGGGGTAGAAGCAAGAAGGCATGTGAGCGTACAAGGAAGATGAATCTTATGAAGAGCTGAGGTGTAAAGAAGAACCAGGCACAGCTGTTTTCAGTTTTAAGAAAACATATATGTATTTATATGAATGTCTTTGTGATGCAGAATATGAAGGAGCAGTCACCAACAAAGTTACAGCATTTATGCTTAGGGTTTAATTCAGTTTTTCACTGAAAGTGAATCCTTCAGTTTAGCATTTAGAGTTGAATTTAGCATTTTTATGTCTAAAAGATTTCTTTTTAAGTTTCTTGTTAAAAAGTGCTTTATTTTTCTTTTTATAATTCATGTGATACAGGTAAATATTAAAAGCTCAATCATTTATGTCAAATTTATTTGCATACAAGAGAAATGGAAAAAAAATCATTAACATTTTTAACTCTGTTTTGGAAGATACCAGAGAAAGCATTAGGCATGTGAAATAAGAATTTAGGTGGACAGGTTTGTAACTCAGACCTCTTGACTGATGGGAATGGGAGAGTGAGGGTTACACAAGGAAGTACCTATCCAGATGTGGCTCCAGTCCAAAACAGTCCTTGTTCTGATTAACGCTAAGAATACCATGGGCCAGTGTCACGGATCCCCCCCAGGGAGTGCTTGCTTGGGCCTCCCCGGCCTTACCTGGTCTCTCTGAATACTCTGTAAAAGCCAGCCCAGGTATGGCTTCTACAGTTCTGGCTCCTTCGGACTCTGAGACCCCAGCCATTTGGTCTCTGATCCTTGCTGGTTACCCAAGCTCCTCCTTCCAGGAGCTTCCTTTCTGTTCAGCTCCTGAGAGAGGGATTTTTCCCTCTTCAAAGAGAGGGACAGCTCTTGTTGATCTAAGAAAAGATATCTCTACTACAAGTCCTGATTGCCTTTTCCTTTAGACCAATATGGCTGCAACCTGGATACCTCTTTGATAAAGGTATTTGTTGGAGTAAAGCCCACAAAGCAAGAAGTTTTCACCCCTCCAAAGGGGGTTAAGCAGTCTTCCTTTTCTCAGTCTAGCTTGCATAGCTCTTAGCCCCCTAAATTTAGCTCAGCTGTTCTCTCTCCAGTCCACACAGTCCCAAGCACCCCATAGCAGCTTGGCTGTTCTCTCCTCAGTCCACAAAGAAAAGAGCCATTCCCTTTCCAGGCTCTGCAGCTTTCCAGCTGACACCCTGCTTCCCATTCAAGCTGCTCCCTCCATTGTTTGAAGCTTGTCTCCTTCTGCTTCCCTTGACACTTTCTGGGTGTCACCTCCAAAGGATGTTTTATCAGTCCTAACTTATTGAAGTGTCAATAAGGCTGTTCAGTTCCTTGTTGATGGGTGTGCATCTTGGCTCTTCCAGCACCTAGGCAAGCCCTGTGTGAGAGATGTGAGTATACCTGATGGGCTCATTAGAATCCAAGTCAACTTCTTGTTTTGTTGAGTCTACAGCTGGCAATGAATGCATAGCTTTACTATATGTTCCAAATATATTCAGGCCTGCCTAGCATGGCAGTGCTCTTACCCACACCTGTTGCTTGAGTCATATTATCTATGGTTGCATTTGGACAAACACAACACCATGTCTTAGTAAGGGCATTATTACTCTTTCTTCCCCTGTGTGCAAGCTAGTTAGGAGAACTAAAGTGTGCAGCATTGTTACAGCATGAACACATTTAGTCCAGAAATATTACCTGTCACAGTAGGCATCTCCCCATAGGTGTCCCTGTGAAGGTAGAAAGAATGATAACTGCTCTCACCTTGATTTTACGCTACCTGTAGTCGCATGTCTTTTGTCTTGCATGCCTTACAAAGTCCACAAAGAAGTGGAAAGCGCACTTATCTTTTTCCGTCTGTGGCTGGAGGCAGAAAAGTTCCCCTAGAAATCTTCAGAGATCAGCAGGAGAGTTCTGTTATTCTTGCCCAGAAGAGCTCCCTTTTTGCTGTATTAACTTATTTAATATAGTGCTAGCACAGTCCTAATATGTGACAATTCATCTTTATGTATTTGAATAAATACTTTAAATCTCCTGTGTACAATGTGCTTAAAACACTTAACATGCACATATATATATGTAGGAGTGGTTGTGTGTGTACGTGTTAGAATACATACGGTTTAAAATGTCAGTATTATCATTCTCTGCATGAATTAGAAGTGAAAATTTGGCAATCGGAACACAATATATTGTTTACCAGTATTACAGATTTATTAGTCTAAGTATTTGGGACAGGGGAGGTCCAGACGTGTAGTTTGTAGTACTACACTTAAGTTCTTTCTCATTATTGAAAAAACTACTTCATTTTGAAATCAGTGTATGCTACTAGAATTAGGAATGAATTAGGAATGTATACATATTTATACGTATGCTAACATATTAATTCTTCTTTATGCATTTTAATGTAGAAATCAAGCCAGCAAAAGTGCTGCTTTGCAGTCGCATCACAGATCGAACAGCAAGGATATGCAGACTCTAGGGGTTGGACTACAAAGAGGAGAAGAAGTTCTACCAGCAAATGAAAGCTTCATAAATGGAAACCTCACGGGAGCTGCACACAGTCCAATGCATGCAAAAAAAACAAGCAACCCACCTGGAACTGGCAGCAAGGACCTAGCCAATAATAACATCCCACATCTTCTCAGTCCAAAGGAAGCAAAGACAAAAACAGAATTTGATTTTAATGTGGACCCAAAAGCTTCTGATGGTCCAGGTACAAAATACCTGAAGTCAAACGCCAGATCTCAACAGAATCGGCACTCGTTTATGGAAAGTTCTCAAAGCAAAACCGGCACGCTGCAACCAGGTGAAAAGCAAAGTCGCCATAGCTATATTGATACTATTCCTCAGTCATCCAAGAGCCCCTCATATCGGACAAAGTCCAAGAGTCATGGGGTCCTGACAGACTCCAAATCTGTGGGTAACCTTTCTGAGGCCAGAGCTCAAATTGCAGAACCAAACAGCAGTCGGTATTTTCCATCAAGCTGCATGGACTTGAACTCTCCTACCAGCCCAACTCCTCCTCGCCATGGTGATAACAGAACTTTACTCAGCCCATCTGGGAGGAATAACCGAAGTGACAGTACCCTTGATTCACGAAGACTGTCAACAAGACATTCCAAAACCATGGAGGAGTTGAAACTGCCAGATCATATGGATGGAAGCCATTCACATTCGTTATCTGCCCCACATGAATCTTTTTCATATGGTCTAGGTTACACTAGCCCCTTTTCCTCACAGCAGCGCCCTCATAGACACTCTATGTATGTGAGCCGGGACAGAGTGAGGTCAAAGGGCTCAGAGGGTGGCTTAAGCGTAGGGCAAGGGATGGCAGCCAGAGCAAACAGCCTGCAACTGTTATCTCCACAGGTGCAGCATAGGTCACTCACCAGATCTGTTGGCTCCTCACGTGAAGATTGTACAGAAGATACGAATAGGGTTAGTCTGAAATGTCATCTACTGCAAAAGATTTTATTTTCCTTTATGTGTTTCTTGCATGCCTCTGGGATCATGTTGGCAAAAGCAGCTTATAATTTTATATCTCCCTTCTATACTTACTTATTAAATTTGAGCCAACACAAATCATAGTTCAGTTTACTTATGGTAAAATACCTGCAGTGTGAGCACAGTCAAAATATATCGAATTATGATTGGTAAGTGGTTTCCAAACCATTGTTTATGCTATCTAATGTAATTTTTTACTAAACTGTTTTGGGGTTTTTTGTTGTACCATTCTGCTGTGAATACTAATCTTAACCCTTTTTGAAGTGGAGTTTTCAGGCACTTGTCTTACAGCAGTAGTTTGCTGATACAGGAACCATTTGAGATACTGCACCGTTTCTTTATTCATGAGCTCTGGGCAGACCAAACATATATACTGGTATTTTTGGCATTGCGCAAGCACAAAAAGGTAGCATGAAGACTTCACAGTCCCCTAAACCAAGGGGACTTTGCCCAAACCCGTGGAAAATTATTCCAGAAAGAATCACGAATAAAACTACCAGTGCAAGTTACACCAGGTTTAGTTTTGTCTGTGTCATTTCTAAGACAGTTACTAGCTAACAGTAAATTATCTATTACTAGATCCGTCATTGCCTACATGTAAAATCCCATTGTAGCTGCCTCCTGTTTGAACTATCCCAGAATAGCTGTACATCTGTCTATTCCTGATTCTAGTGAAATTTATATTGGCATACAAAACTGATATAAATCACCCTGTGGTATATAGGAGTCTGTCCACCAAGGCCTTAGGCTGCAGCCATGCAACAAAATTACTATAGAGTAATTTGTTCTAGAGTTTACTCCACAGTAAATTTACTCTGTAGTAGGGAGCAGACATGCAACCAGCTCTACCAAGCTCTCTGCTTAAAGGGAAACTGTAACAGTGTCTGTCTACTAGGTGGTGAGGGATCATATTTGCATTAGCTAAATGGCTACCAGAGATAAAATTGACAAGGGAAGGAAACACATGGTTGGTACATCAATCTGTAGTTATTCCTGACTTTTCGAGGGGTAGCTTTACCTTGCATTGAAGCAACACTGATGTATGTCTGTGTCATGTGATTGCTTCACTTTTGCCTGCAGTCAAATTACTTGAGAGGAAATATGCCAAGTGTTTGCATTTTTGTGTAATAAGTATGCAGAGCATGATAGAGGCTCTGTTGTAGGAAGTATTAATAAATATTGGCTTTTTGATAGTGACCCCTGTCACCAGTCTAGGCTGGGTTAAGTAAGGGCTCCTTTACACGGTAATTTTGGGCAGCTCCTGGAGCTCTTAACCCCTGGATTGTCCACACATTAACACCCTAAAGTGGTTTTAAGCACTTGTACGGCTCAAAGTTATGTAACTCCAGGGCAGGTTTAATTCTGTTCCGCACTACCCAGTTTATGTAGGCCCTTACATAGTCTGTACAGAGCCAACTCCTCTTTCTGTGCCCAGATATTTTGGTGTGAGTATTAATGTGCCAAATTCTGTGCTGGTTTGCATTTTTATGAAGCCTTACTGAATTTACGGATGTTGCACGTGACAAATAAACACAAAATCTGCCTCCAAATATTTAAAATACCAATAATCTTTCTGCAAATTTGGATAGTAACTTACGGCAAAAAGAAATGCCTAAGTGAGCAATTCACATAAATACATACAAATATATGCAGTGAAGTGAATTATAAGATAAGAGCAATTTGCTGAAAAATTGGAAAGGATTCAGAAAAGAGCTACAAGAATAGATCAGGAAAACATTGTGAGCTACTAAAGCTCAATCTAATTAATTAGTTTATCCTAGAAAAGAATAAGAGGTGACTGACTGTCTATAGGTATCATAGGGAAGAGATTTTTGTTAGTAAATGGCTCTTTAATGCCGTGCTTGAGAACTGAAGCTAGACAAGTTCAAACTAGAAATAAGACAACAGTTTTTTAATGCTGAAAGTAATTAATCAATGGAACAACATGCCATTACCTAGAGATGTGTTGTATTTTCCATCATTTGAAGCTTTCTATCAAAATTGGATACCTGTATTTAAAAGTTATTCTAGAACTCAAGCAAAATGTACAGCTTTGATGTAGAAATCATTGGCGTGAGGTGCTGTTGTCTACATTTGTTGGGAGGACAGATTAGATGACTGTGTCTAGTGGTAAACCTGTTGGTTTTAGGTATAAAACTATGGAAGGTCTGTAAGAGGAAGGTCTTCTATAGCCTATTGAATGATATGAGATCAGACAAACCTTGTTCTATATCTGCATGAAAATTCCACTGCTTGATGAAATTGCTGATTATTTTAATTTTACCACTGCCATCCCTAACCATCTTCATAACCCCATTATTTGTGAGAAGAGAGTAAAATGTAATAATTGATCTCTTAACCGCAGGAATTTTTTTAAAGACTGTATTATACAGTCAAGCATAAGTAAGCTATTTTGAGATTTATTGGGTTTGCCTGATTATTCCAAGCTATGGCTAATTTCCTATTATGCAGTATCTAATAATAAGCCACATCCAGATGAGCGTGGCCCTGCAGTATGTGGCACCACAGACATGTCTGTGGTGCCACATACTACACATTCAGCTGTTCTCTGCACTACAAGGTAGCAGCGCCAGGGGGGTTTTGGCCCTGGGAAATCCCAGGGGTCAAAAAAACCCACCCCCCAAAAAAGTGGAGCGATGCACGCAGGGCACACTCTGGCTGCCAGCCAGGCTCCAAGTCTCAGGATTGCCACTGCTGCAGCCTCAGGAGGCCCCCAGGACCCCAGGTAAGGCTGCTGGGGCCAACCCAGTGCTGGCCCCAGCCTCCCATACCCTACCTGGTGTAACCTGCCATGGGCCAGAGGGCACGTGGCACAGTCATTCACTAGGGACAAGTAGCAGTGGCACAAGATGTGCCACTGCTTCTTGTCCCCAGGGAAACAAACGTCCATACTCATGTGGATGCAGCCACAGAGTTTTAGAGTAATATTCAGTACGCTTTTACAAACATGTAATGCTTTATTCTCTCAGACCTCTTTTCAGACAGATATTGCAGTAAGCTGTGGGATTCTAACTGTTCATATGTAGAAAGTGAAGGAAAAAAGGGTCACGATTCCTCTTAAGCATCCTTCTGCTTCCCCCCCTCAGCAAGGTACTGGCTGCTTCCATCCTGCGATGTTTCCTGCCAGCTGTCTTTTTCACCATTTGTCTGATAAACAAGGAGCCATCAATTAGGCCTCCTTGTCTTCTGTCTGCAGGTTAAGTGTTTCCATGTTCCTGGAGATGTCAAATCTCGCAGAGCGCTGATACACTTCGTTTTAAAATAATACAACGCTCTTTCTAAAAAGCACATTAGTAGAAGTTTTGTGCGCCTATACATATCCCCAGATGTGAGTGAATGCTTTCATCATTAGCAAGAGCCCATAAAACACCCTTCTGTCATAGATTTCATGAGGCTTAACAACTACAATCTATTTTATAGGGAAATTAATGTTTAAAATGACCCTGCAGTAGATACAAACTAAGCTCTCTTTCCTCTCATGTGCACCGATTCCCATCTGTCATTTCAGTCAAAATGCTTTTGTCTACAGTCATACAATCAGCATTGTAGTTACTAAAAAAACGTTGTACCACTCAAAGACAGTGTGGTTTCTTATGCTGGCTTTTCTTTTTTAGTCTGCAGTTTATTAGTATTTTTTGCATTGTAGTTTCATGTATTGAATGTTAATTTAATAAGTAATGTCTAATGGCATTTCATATTGTGTGAAGACATACTGAATGCAATTATCAGATCACTCGTTGTCTTTTGACAGCCAATAGACAAACTTATATGTAGTTAGGAAAAATGATGATGAGTCTTCCATCTCTCTTGAATTAATTCCTTTTGGCTTGGTTATAAAAATGTCTGTTTGAGTTAGCAGTGTCTAACTCAATGCTTTTATCCCTTAAGCTCAATATTTTTCAAACCTGAGATTCTCCAGTGAAGCTGGTAAATGCATATTTTAGCAAAGTAAAGGTGAAAAGTAGTAAAAGTGGCCTGATTTTTAGAGTTGTTCAGCACTTACAGATCCCATTGAAGTTCATTGTCATCAATGTTACTGTGGCATTTCAAAATCCAATAACTTGTACTTAGCTTATCTAACGTGGATTTAGAAGCTTAACTTGGCCCCATGGATTTTATGTTGTTAGTCCAAAGCATCCCCTCCAAAAAGCACTTCACTTGAATTCCATCCAAGGAGCATACTGATCACTGCCTACCCACTTAAGCTTTTTAGAGGCTAGAAGTACCTATGTTTTTGCTAGAAAATGTACATAGGTATCTAAAACTCTGCTGCTGTTCATGCACGTAGGCAGCAGTATTGCGGTGGAGCTGAGCATTTTGATACCTGCTTCCATCAAAACCATTTAAGACTCACAAAGCAGTTGTCCCCATGCATAAATCGTGAAGGGAGCTGCTCTGAGGCATGTTCAGAACATGTCTAGCCCACTCCAACAGCACTGAGATCTACACAGAACAGAACAGGCACTTTCATTCTCAACCAGTGATTCTCAACCAAGCTGCTGCATCACCCTGGGGTTTTTTCATGGGTGCTGTGGATTGATACACAATTTTAGCACTGTGAACTGTACAGACACAATGCACAAGATAAATCTAGAAATTCCAAATAGGAATTTGTAGTGTTGAAAACCATCTGAGCTGTTGTAGCCTAAGTCCTTTGCAACAGAGTAATTGTTCTATTATTTTTCTATAGTCAAAAAGCAAGTGAAAGCTAAGAGCTGGCATTTTCCAGTGGATTCCTTGAGTCTAACAAGGTTGAGAACCACTGTGCTAAAGTGTTCTTAAGATGGCATAGGTGTTGGTGGCACTCCTCACATTGTACAGAATAGTCTCCAGCACTTGTCCTGGAGGGAGGAACCTGGGTTCTCAGATCTTTTCAACTTGAAGAGATTCAAACCCACTTTTCTCATCTCTCAGGAGTGTGCCTTAATCACTCAACTGCCATAAGCTTGGCTGTGGCAGGGGCACTTGCCACTGTTCATGATGAAACTGGACTACCATTGTAGAAAGGCACACAAGGTCTTGGTAGCAGAGACAGACAGCAACAAGAGGGAACGTGACTAACCATGACTCATTTGGAACCAGGGATTCCTTGGGGTGTGGTTAACATTAGGGGTGTGCAAAGCGGACCCTATTCAATTAGGATTTGGCCCAAATTAGGGACAGCGATTTGATTTGGATCACTATCCCTGATTCAATTTGGCCAAATCCGAATCTGAAGATTCGATGCGGATTCGGAGAATTAGCGATTCGGACACAGACACAGCTTTACAAGTTTTTTCTACGTACTTTGAGGTAGCAGATGCGGCTTGTGATCGCTGCAATGCTAGGGCGCATGGAGTGTCCCATGGGGGGGGGGCCTCCATGTGCTCAGTGGCGAACCCAGAAGTAGACCGGAAGTACTTCTGGTCCACTTTCAGGTCTGCCAGGGAGTGGGCTGGGCCCCCTCCCCGTCCCCCTCTGTGTCCCCCTGGCTTGGTGATCGGCCACAGGGGGACCCCAGGTGCACCTGCCTCCAGACCTAGGAGGCACCAGTCACGAAGCTGGAGGGGTGCGTGGGGGGCCCCCCTGTGCACTCCTCAGCAGACCTGGAAGTGGACTGGAAGTGCTTCTGGTCTGCTTCTAGGTCTGCTACCGAGAGAACTGAGGAGCCCACCGTGCTCAATCCGCCCCAGCATCACAGCATTCATGAACCACTGCTACCTAGAGGTATGTAGAAAAAACATTTAAAGTTATCTCTATGTCCGAATCTCCAAATCCCTCTGAATCGATTCAGAGGGTTCCAATTCAATTCAGAGAGATTAAAGGGTCCCTTGATTCGATTTGGATTCAGAGATTTGGCCACCAAATTGGGCCGAATCTCTGCCAAATCGAATCAGAGACCAAAGCTTCGCACAGCCCTACTTCACATACCATTTAACCACTTTAAAAGGGGAGGAGGAGCTGCTTCTAGGGACCCTGCATCCCTATTAAGATGTAAATATTACATCTGCATTATCCTGTAGTCATGGAAGTTCGCTAAATCAACCTAGCTTTGACCCTGAAACAAAGTGTCAGTGCTGCTACATTGTTATCATGAAGAAATATATATTGTAACAGTTTATGCTGGTATCCATTGATATTAATATAATATATATAATGCAATCGATGCATCTCTCTGCACCCTAAGATTCCAGTTCCTAGGCCAACCTTGTTTATGTATCTTGGTGACTGAGCCTAAACCCAGGTCTCCCACTTTCTGCAGGTGCTGGGTGGGCAGTAACATCACTGTCACTATCACTGTGTATATTAAAAGAAAACAATGAGTTGTTCATTCCCAGAGGAATGATTTAAATGTTAAAGCCTGGATGGGTCTGGGGCCTATGAATCCCAGTCCCTGCACTCTCCTTTTATGCTGGATACATTCCTCTACTCAGGTGATGTTGGAAACTCTCCTAGAAAAATGAGTCTTGAAGTTAACACTTCTTTGAGAAATGTTCATCAGTACACCCTCTGCAAATTACTGTTTCAAGCAATCAATAGGCTCAGGCAGGTGTCACACCATTGGTTACCCATGGCCATTTTCAGTCTTTTCTTCATAACCATATCAATTAGAAAGCTTTTTTTCCAATGAAAGGTAACAGTCTAGTGTAATTATATGACGACACAACCTGGAAGCCTGCTTACAAACTGCAATGTTATGTTTTAATGTATACTTACTGACTAATAGCCAAGATGACGAGGCTGATTGACATGTAGAAACCCTTTTCTTCCTCCTGTAACAAGTAATCATGTAATTCCATACAAAGAAACATTGGGAAGGGATGATAACCTTGACCAATCAAACTTAATCAAGAAAAACTTATTTGGTGATTTTTGCTTATCAGCATTCTTTCTCATCCTTGCATCATCTTTATTCATCGCTTTAACTAATTTGCTGTCATATCAAACATCTGGAAATCCCAAAGTGGTTTTCAGTTTAAACACATTTGTCTAATTCTGTGCTTGCAATTTTTGTTTGTTGTACAAATATTTTAGGTGGCAAATTGAGCTATGCTATTGATACTTCTTGCCTGCTTTGGACAATTTAAAAATGTTAATCCATTAAAATGTTTAATCCAGAGTGCATGTTTCAGCAAAGTGCCTCTTCTGAGTAGGTTGCCATAACGTTTATGTTGTTCTTTATAATTCACAGTGATCAATGAATTTAAAACTAACCATAAGAAGTTCAGAAATTCTCAGTCTGGAGTGCCTTTTGATGATTGTTGAACTAATTACAGCACTGAACGTGGGATACAGAAAATTCAGGTTCAATCTGTGACTTTGCCACAGAGATGTTGCGTGCCTATACACATGCTCAGGGGTGGGGAGGGGTCATTTTAATCAGAGGGGTTCCCTGCCAGCCACTCTAATTAAACAGCTCACTGTTGCATGTATTAATCCCCCCCACCCACCCCTCCAAATATTAAAATGGCCACAGGCGCACTTTAACTCATTGTATTAATTGAATGAGCTTTAGTTAAAGTGCCCCCATGACCATTTTAAAACACGGGGGCACTGAGTCAAGTCTGCTTTGGCACGTTCTAATTAGAATGTGAACCAGCACCTCTATGGGCAGCCTTTGTGTGATGATGGGCAAGTCAATCACTTTGGTCCCTACACCTGATCAATTCAAGCACCTGACTGCCTTTCAGCATGTGGTCAAAGCCTATTGAAGGCAAAGTAAGAGCTTTCTTGAATGCAAATGTGTTTAAATACATGCTTGAAGTGTTTTCTTTGAATGGGGACCTCTTTGTTTCATTTCTCCATGTGTCAATAATAATACTTCCATTCTGTGTGTCTTGTTTATTTAGTTTTGTAAGATCTTTGGAGCAGGATTGCCTCTGGCTGCATTTATGCACATTGCCTAACACAATGGGACCATCCACACTGTTGGGCCCATGTGTGTAAGAATCAATGTGTGATAATCATAGAGCACTGCATACACCACAAATCACATATTTGCTTTTCTAAATTTGCTATCAGCAGAGTGACCAGATTCCACCAGAGATGAATCTGACAAGACCACCAGTTAAAGATGCCTCCAGAGATGTTACAACCTCATTTCATTCACGGCAAAAGTCTGAGGTCTGAATTTCTTTCATGTCTATAACTCTATGCCTTTGCGGGAGATGTTCCTATGGCCATCGTTTCATTTCTATAATAAAAAAATTGAGTGATTTTTGATTGCAGTGTTTTGGGATTCGTGTTTAGCGCCTGTTAATAAAACAAGAGGTAAATTATGCCTGGATAACATTCTGTGAGGGGACATGTCACTGAAGAACAATATATGAGCCTGGTTTTCTTCTAGAATTTGAATAGTTCTTTTTTCTTTGGTTTAGGGTGGAGCGTACCATGATCCACACTCAGAAGATGGAGCATCCACTAAAGAAAACAGAGTTCTGTATAATGACCCTATTCCTAGAAGAGTTGGCAGCTTTTATAGAGGTAAGTTTGTGTCTTACAAAACTAAACTGTAATTTTCAACATACTGTAGACTAAGAGCAGTACAGATAAAAAAGAGCAAAGCTAACAGCTACAAATTAAAAAGAATTACACTAAGCCACTACTAAATCCACAGAGCATAATTTGGCATCCCTGGCTCATCTGTTTTTCTACAGGGCCTAGGACTGAATGCACTTCTTGGAGATTGCTTGCTTACACTGATTGATAGGTGACTGTCCACTTAGGACAGAAAAACATAACCAATTTAATTTGCATACAAAACTTTATTATGGTATTTTATCATTTGTATTCTGATCAAGTTAGTATTTAAAACTGTCTTGATGTTCAGAAAACAGTCTCCAACTCTGTATCGGGCACCCACTATCTTCCATTTGAAATGACAAGAATGTTCTATAATAAAAAAAACACGTTAATTTAAGATTGGTGATACATGGGTTGGCGTCTTGTCTTTCACCAGCAGATACCTACATTCAAAACTGTTCTTCAGTTCATTAGAGGTTAAAATCCCTCATTTAAAAGTAAAGCATATGTGTATAATCCTAGCCCCAAAACAAATCAGTGGATTGGAGAAAAGGCTGCTGTTATGTACCTGGTACTGTTACACAACCCATCTGAGGGCTCCATTTGAGATCCTGTGCTATCCCTATGGATACAGTTCAGACTGTTCAGGGTAAATAGGTCAAAAAAGAAAGGAAACCAGCCACAGTCTTGAGCAGTAAAAGCTCTGCAAGGGCCCTTATGTTTAAAAGACTGGTGGTTAGGCCACAACCTTGAGGCCTCTAAGAAGCCCCAGTGAGCTTCTTTGATTATCAATCACATAAGAAACTTAAGTGGGGACACCCAATCTCCTAATGATCCTATTTAAGTTAGTTGGATATAACCTTATTTACACTTGTCAATCTGCCAACACTGATAATTAAGTTGGGGAGGTTTATAAGGGATGCTGCTAAGCCTGTTAAAGTTTCTGCAGCCTGTGGGGCAGACAGCTAAACCTGCCAAGGCCAGCAGAGGACAGAGGACTAACACTCTTAGAGACAGCAAAGAGAAGTAGAAAGCCCCTCTGCTGTTTTGTCTCCCCCTGCCTTCTTATGGCAGTCTTTTTGTGTGAGCAAAGCAAAGCCATGTTGTCTTTTATCAGTGTAGACATTTCCTCCCATTGACACTGAAAAGAGAGATAAAATATTTCATTTAAAACTTGTCCCATTCTCAGTGCCCAGGCTGTTTTAGCAAAAAAAAAAAAAAAAAAGTGTGTCAGTGGTATATGCTAGCTCAGGAGACTGCCACTTTTTAAAATAACCTAATTGACAGACAGGTTCTCTTGTTAAATTGATTGTGGGAACATTTTTATTTTTTCATGAGTGAGCCTTATTAGGAATTAGTAATGTTAAGTATGTCTCTGCAAGCAAGAGGGCTAAATTCTATATCTTAAAAAATTGGGAGAGAAGGAAGGAAAGAAGAGGGGAAAAAATGTAAATATCCAGAGGCCACCTGGAAATCCATTTTGCTTACTCTGGATCCAGCAACTATTCTGATGCTCAGATCTGACCTCATAATAACTTGAAAATTAGTTGTTAATCGGGTTCTGCGCATCAGTTTTACCACTTCACTTTCCTATTTCAAGTACACAGAAGCAGAGTTCTGCTTCCTGACCTCCTCAATCAGTTTCATCAATAATATAAGTTCCTCTGCACATTCCTTTTGAATTTGGTAGGTTTAGGTAATCTGCCAGTATTGATTCCAGTATTCCTTGGTTTGCAGATATTAGAGAAAGAGAGTACAAAATTGGAATTATAATGAAAACTCGATAGCAGCCTTAACAATGAAGTGGCTAATGTCACACTGTACTCATTATAGTCTCATTGTCTTCAGTGGAGTTTTACTATTTTTGTACTAGCTAACAATCCGTCTCAGTATCTTCTAGAATTTAAAAAACTGCATTTAAATTAATCCTAAAACGTTCCTATAATTCTCCACGCTTACTTCAAGCAAAACAGAGATACAAAGAGAAAGCTGTAGCCATACATCAAAGTAATTGCAAGTCCAGGATTAGAATGTAGTTCCCAAATTTAATAGAGCACTCTGCCTCTGAAGTTATATCTGTAAAATGTAAAATTTTAGTTTAAAAATTTTAGTTTAAGAATCTGTTTTGTTTTATTATTTAATATGTTCAAGATCTATCGTCATAAAAGATTCTATAAAAAGATGTGTTTGTTCAAGCATATAATAGCTATCTGAACTACATGAAAGTTGCTGTACAAAATGATTTTTGTACTACATCTGAAAGAATGCATCATTTGTTTATAATCTACTTTGTATATAATTTTGATGGGTTAATAAAGTAATGTCTCATATTTTATATAAAAATGCTGTGTTCTGTATTCTAGTGACAGTTATAATTTTAGGGGTAGTATATGTAAATTCACATATTAGCTATCTAAATCTTTTTCCTCTTTTTTGTGTATGAGTCAAGTACTTCAATTTCTAAACAGTATATAGGATCAGATTTTGATCCTGTTACTGAGTAGTATTTTGTTCCATAGATAGTGCAAAAAGGGGCAAGTCATGAGGCAAAATATTTCTCAGCATGAGTAAAGACAGTAAAGGACTATAAAAAACATCGAGTAGCCAAAAGACCTGCAAGGAAAGAGCAAATTATAGCATTAAGGTTCTTGAATGACAGTGGCATTCCAACTTTTCTTCCACTGGACTTTCTTCCATTACATTTTTTTAAAAATATAATTGACAGTTGGGGGCACTTTTGTATTTTGAGAACATACCTGTTAGTGTTTTGACAGTACCATCTGAAGTGTCTTGCACACACAGCACTACAAAGAGCAGGCATAAAATGTAACTGCCTCTTCATCCTTCTGTTTTGCTAGAGAAATAGGAAAGTAGCCATAAAAATATATGGCTTTGGCAGAGATGGATACAAATATTTTGGTATTTCTCTGTTCAGTTCCATCTCCGCGTCCAGAGGGTACATTCCTTGAAAATAATGCGTCAAACAGAGCCCCTGCAATACCATCAGACAGCGGCACCGTGACAAACCACTCAAAGAGACAAACCACCTTTGATACGTGGTGAGTTGTTGCTTGTACAGTCTGACATGCCATGGTGAGTGAAAGGCCTTTTTATTAGGCTTCTCTTTCTTTAAGAAAATGCAATGTAATCACCTTGTTAATAAATGTCCTTGTCATCTACACAATCTAATTTGTTCCCTTTGCCAGCATTGAAACAACATTGCATGACACCTCTTTGGGTCCTCAGGAAAGGACTCCTGATGCTATCCCTGTGAACATGTTTTTTAAAAAGTAACTCAGTTTTTATATTTTTGTGCATTTGTCTGGGTTTTTTCTTCCAACAAGCAACATTTGTGATTAAAGCTGTTAGAATATATGTATATGTAGTATAGCATGCAAAACCATTATCTTAATTTGTGGGTTCCAGAAGTATCTAGTATCAGACTAATGGAAAAATGACCGAAATTAATGTTTTCATATGTAATTGAGGACCATGTTAATAAAGAGTATGGTAAATGTCTTCCTTTTGCTCATGTATCACAGAACTGTAATAGCTAACACTGCAGAAAGTAACTGGATTATTCTACAGGATAACAGACCAAACAGTTTGGTACCTGAGTATAGTGATTAAAAAAGCAAGCCTAAAAAGAAGGATCACCTGACACCATCATATAATATTAAAGCAATGTTCTACATTCACTCCAATATTTAGCAGTACATGCATAGCTTTGCAGGTAATTGAAAGGAAAATCCTAATTTTATCACTGAGAATAATTTAGCAATAAGATGCTTATCATTCTGCTTTATGCATTACAGCAATGAACACTGAATGAAAATAAGCATTATAGTTATGAAGAATTGTTGGGAGCAAAGGATTCTATGAATTATGATGAGTCAATTACATTTAATATCATTTTCTGATGTTCTGCTATCTAAAGAAGAGCTTAGAATACTTGGTAACTTATACTATGATTTACCATTACATTGGTATGAGGTGTTGGTCCCCTCTAGTGAACCCCTGGAAAATGCCATAGCATCCAAACCAAAATATTTTGTGGGAATACAGTGCTTTCAACTACATGTTGTTAGTAAAAGATTTCCAGCTCCCAAAATGATTTTTCTGGACAAAACCAACGGATAATAGCAAATAGCCTAGAGTTCAGGGCACTTACCTGAGCTTTGCGAAATCCAGGTGTAAGTCCCTATTCTTTCTGATTCAGAGCAGGAACTGGTGCCTTGGTTATTGCCTTATTGTGTCTCTCTCTCAACCCCTACCGCTACTACCCCTCTGGCAGCTATTCCACTGTATAAATAATTATTGGGCCAGAAGGAAAGACTGACCATAGCACAGTGGTTAGGGCACTTGCCTATGATATGAGAGACCCAGATTTAAGCCTCTGCTCCAGTTCATGTTTCAATATTTTATACAGAGTGGATCAGCACCTGCAAAAGAGACTGAAAAACCCCTACTTCCCTGTCTCCCTCCTGTTCTGGCCAGAATTTTCAGGAAAAAAAATTGGAAAGGGCCTGGCCTGGTTTCCTCCCATTACACTACATTTTTGAAATCTGGAAAAGTTTGCTTTGCAGCATAGAAAGCTGTCTCCTGCCCATCTCCAGTGATGTGAATTGTCCTAGCAATGGCTTGGTAACGTTGCAAAATTGTAGTATGCACAAGTGCAGCTTAATCAGGTTTACTTCCACTGCTATAGAGGGTCTCTTTCTCTACGTAAATTTCTCTGCATAACTTTTCATGGGAAAAATTGTGCAGTTGTTCATGAAAATGTTAATCATTCTGCTTTAATGGAACGTGACTTTGCTTACATAGCTTTCTTGATGGAGTAAATATTTAATGTTCTGCTCGCATGCATAATTGGTATGTCACAGTTCATCTCAAGTTATGAACGACCTGTAATGCACCTGGATTGGAACTGCTGTAAAATGTTTTGCTTCTTCCTCACCTTACTGTTTTTTGTTGCCTCTTTCTTCTGTCAAGGAATTTGCAAATGTTTGTTTGACTTTAATTGTCACTGACGATCCGTTGTCCTTGTGTGCATCTCTCCAGCCTGTCCTCGCTGTCCTGCCTCTTTAAAATAAAGACGTTATGCTGCTCAACTTGTCTATTGTCATTAGGATTTACTCTTAAATGACTAGATTATCTCTGCATTCAGGCAGCCTGATTTGTACTTTTTCTGTTTACCAGTCAGTGTACATTGCTCTAAATTCTTGGGTTTTTCTAATATCCTCGGACTTTTATCCTTCAGTTTCCTCCTCCAGTTATAAAAGTAGGTATTTTGACCTATTTCACCTAGTTCTCTGGGAATGAGAATGCTAAACTTTTTTTTTTAATCTTGAAAGGTGTTTCTCTCTGCTTGTAGTTGCCCTGCTCTGAGCCAGACCCACATTAGGCAGGTAATAAGGAAGTTTCCCTCTGTATCTCCATTTGTGCACCACAGTTTTGACCCGAATTACTCCTACACAGATATGGTCCTAAGTATCTCTTCAGGGGGAGCATCAGGTTATACTGAATTGTCCTCTAGCAGTTAGAAGCATCTGCAGTGGCAAGGCAATAGATGTTTGGGGGCTTGTGAGGAACTTCAGTTAATGATATCTTCATGTCCATTTTAATGCTTATCTTGCTCACAGAGGATTTGTGTCCCTATACCAAATATCTGGTCACATCTGCTGTATTCTTTTTTGCAAAAATAGATATATACCATGGGTGGTTTTTTCCACTTCAAAGAATTCAGACCAGGATTGTAGGGTGTCAGTGGCTTATTGACTTCTGCCATGAGTTTCATAGACCCAGAGGCTCTTGGCAATACTGAAGTGAAAGTAGACTTACCCAAACTAGCTTTAAATTAGCCAAAGGAGATCTAGGTAGTGGTCTAGCTGCAAGGGAGCTCAGTTCAGGCTACAAATCCTGCCCAGGAAGCAGAGTAAATATCAGCAGTTAGCTTGCATGGAGCCCTGTGCTGCTGCAGCTAGACTGTTACTAATAGCCAAGCCAGCATGTGGGTATCTATACCAGGAGCTGGCAACTTTGTCAAGCCACAAGCTGGAACAACCTGACTCCAGTCCAGCATAGGCTCAGTGACTTCAGCAGCACATTAGCAGCAGGAGAGCTTTTCCTACACCCATGCCAGGGCCAGGCAGCTAATGTGCCTGCATTAGTGCCACTTCTCCCTTTTTGCTCCAGCTGGGTTTGTGAATGCAGCTTCCAGCCAGAGGCCAAGTGCACTAGGGCCAGACATCTAGGAGCAATATCCATACTGCTGCCACTTCTCTCCACCCCTTTGTTATCCAGCTGTAGCATGGGTGCAGTTAAAAGCAACCCATACCCAGCACAGCTCTCCAGCAGCTGGAAGCTGCACCTGCGTGACAGCCTTGAGTTAAGGGTAGGTTGGGGGGAGAGATGGGAAGAAGTGGCAACAGCACAGGTGCTCCTTCCAGCTTGTAGACTTGGGCACAGGTCTTTAATAGCCCTTTGGCTCTGTGGACCTTATGTTACATGTTCCTGACCCCTGATCTATGCCATTCTGCAGTCACACAGTAGCTGGACTGATGACAGACAGAATTATTTTACCCTTCTGGAGTTTAACTAAAAATATGCAAGAAATTGCAAACTCAAAACTTCAGGTGAACTAGAGCCACTTATGTTTGCTAAGGATCTGGCTCTTGGAATCTGTTCTGCATAACTTCATGTTGCTCACACCTCCTGATGATAGTATATATTCCCCTTTGGTATCTCTTGCATAAGCCACTTGCATATGCATAGCCTGCTGCAGGGATTGGTAACCTATGGCCTGCAGGTCAGATGTGGCCTGTAGAACACTTGCATCCAGCTTTTGCATCTGGCCAACAGGCACAGGGCTTCAGCAGCATTTAGTAGGGGGAGGCACCTTCTGTGGGTCCTTTTCCTGTGCTGCCAAGGAGATGAGCATCAGCAATGGCAGAGTCCTAGCATCTGCCTTCCTGCTGCTTCCACCCTGGGGTGGGTTGTTCCAGCCTGCAGCTGGAAAAGGTTGTTTATCCCTACCCTATTGTATTTGCCTGGGGGAGGGGAGGGAAAGGTTGGGGTTTTTTTCATCTCCTCCCAAATGTCTTGAGCCTGCACACCCATACAGCCAGTGCCCACTTCTCATCCCTTTTTCCACTTATTAATGTTTGATTCAAGATCAAAATAAGGAAAGAGGAGTTTTAGCTGGTCTCTTCTTTATGTGCTCTGTTTCCACCTTTAACATATCTAAAGATTTGCAGATGTGGATAAATGTTGATCTTTGATCTCTAATCCATTGGAATGTTGTCATGCCCTGTTATGCGGCCCATTAAAAAGGAGACAAAGGAATCAAAAATATACTGAGGGAGAGAGAAAAGGGGCCCTTTGTGATAGTTACAAATAGAGCTTTCCAAACTCCTGCAAGCACTGCCATGTGGAAATAAACCTAGAGAAGCAAACATAATAGTAGTTTGGGGAAAACTCAAAATAAACCTAGAGAAGCAAACATAATAGTAGTCAGGGGAAAACTCACCCAGCCACACACACAAGGTTTAATGGTTAACGGCATGCTGCTTCTGTTTTTGTAATAAATGATTTACTTATTGAGGCCAGGACCTTCCTGTTTTTCTTGCATGCCACATACTTATTGTAATGACAGCCAGTGGAACCACAAGATGTATCACTGTCAATTAGCTTGCTTGTTCTTCCAATGATTCATAACTTGGCAGTATTATACTAAAATTAATTCTATGATTTTAGCTTTGCATGTGAAAGTCAACAAGCCTAGAGTTTTTAAATAAATAAATAAATAAAATGACAACATGGGGAGAAGGAAATCCTATTCTTAAATAAAGGTCAACCACAAAAACAGTGTCTTATACCTGAAAGCTTGTCTAAATCTCTCCCTGCAACCATGCAGTTGCCCCCCACCAAAAAAAGATATCATCCACAAAAATCCTTGCTTCTCACATATTTTCTGCCCCATGACAGCTACAACTTCACCCCAATGCTGTCCAAATATAACTGCTTAAAGTAGTTCACTTGTTTCAAATGTTTTCTTGCC